AGAATAATAATAACAGGCACTACAGCAAGAAAAAACTGTCAGCACACAATATGAATATTGAAAAAAACCCCATTTATAATGAAAAAATAGTACGAGAAAAAAAGAGACTGAAATTGGGGCAAAAATTAACTTCAGACCAATTGATTGACTCTCATAAATTAACAAGATCAACATATATTTTTGCTATTGAAATAAGTATCACAGGAATCAGAACAATATTATAGGGAATCAGAAAAATGAAGGTGAGACCGTGAGAGTGAGAGACGAGAGATCGAAAGATGGGCTGATGTGGGCTGAGACCTGAGATGCCGGAGGGTGAGCAGCCGGCGGGCAGGCTGACTGAGTGAGACGAGAGAGATGAAAGACCAGAAATCATAGTTAGGACAATTCTTGATGGTATCTTGTGTGTTTTGCTTTCACATATTTTGACATGATTTTATAGGAAGAGAAACTAAATGTTTCATTGTGATTTCACATTTTTTCATAGGCCTTTCACATAAAGCAAATAGTGTTTAGAGAGAAGGATGGTAGAAGAAGAGAGGAAATAGTTTGTAGGGAAGAAAAGATGGAAGCTTTATTGAGGGAGGGGAATGGAAAAGAGCATACGGATATGTTGTGGCGAATAGGAAAGAGAGAAAGAAAGAGAATTTGAAAGTGAGGTTGAGGTTGGAGGGGAGAAATGATATTTCAGAGGAGAGGGGAAGGTAGGGAGAAGGTGAGAAGGATCGAGTTGCTCCTCATCGAAAATGAAGCTGAAAATCAAAGAGGATGTGTTTTCAGAGGCTTCTCGAGCGGTGGTCGTATGTTTGGTTCGGGTGTTAAAATAGTTCATCAGAAGGTTAGGGAAGAGGATCAGAGGAGTGGGGCTCGGTAAGAATATCGTGTGCAGGTTTGATGGAGAATGACATGGGAAAGGAATTCGAGTTTGATATAGGGATAAATCTGAAATGAAGCTTAATGATATACGTGGAGGAGGTAGAGTCGAGTAAATAAGGCACACTTTAAAGAAAATGAACAACATTATAATGCCAAATCAAATTGAACTAAACAATAAATGCAAAACAATTGAACTAGTCCACTTCCAAAGACCTTAATTAAATTCAATGAAATAAATTTATCAAAGTGCAGTTAGCTGTGGTATGCTATCTCTGCCTTATTCTTACCAGCATCCCAATAACAATACAACAATCATATAACAAAGAGACATTACTATCACAACAATCACCGAACATAGAGGTACAAAGTATACAAAGTAGTGCACACACTTGGCAGCAAAATAAATTATCCCAATCAAAAACAAAATAAAATTCTAAGGCTATACCTGAGAAATATCTCAAGGAAGTAGAAACCTCTGAAGGTTTGTCACACCCAAGCGGCATCTTCGCTTTGTGGCATTGTCCGGGTCCGGGAAGGCCAGACGTTCGTCGTGGTAAAACCAATATATGGCACTAAGTTTACGCCGAAGATTAGGCAAGGTTAGCGCCTTCATCTCTTCAAACTCATCACGGTTTGCAGGCAGCAGTCCTTGAGGGGGCATAGAACCCACTGGATAGCCCCCCCCACAACAATGTTGACCCCTTGGACGGGTGGTGGCTAACTAGTGTGCATTGGGGAGTTGATTTCTATTTTGTTACATCTTAGGGCCCAAACCATACCAAGCGGAAGTTCAATTAAAAACACAAATGAGTTATTATGCTTCTTCAACTATATATTTCTCAGTATTACGTGGTTATGAAGTTTTTATTTTTAATTGATGTATTGTTTTTTTTTTTTTTATAATTCGTTTATGAATGATTTATGTACGATTTTATTTTGAATTACGTACTTTTGTAAAAAAAATTCAAAAAATGTAGTAAATATGTATAAGTGAAAAATAATAAAAATCAAATGACTAGTAATTTGATTCATATTTGTATTTTTTATACTTATATTGATTCATAATATCTTATCCAGAAATTGACTGTCTTATATTGGAACTTGTAATCCTAATGAATCAATCACATTAGTTGTGTGAGGTGTCTTGAAGAAATTGAAGCCACATATAAGAGAAATTTGGATAATTTGAGGTAAAATATTGTCATCGATGTTCCCTTATCAATGAGCAATTTATTAACTCCATAGCCTACCCCAAACTAAAAACCTCCCAGCAGCACAACCAATCATCAAAACTTCCAAAAATTCCATCAAAATCATTCCATGAACTTCTAGTCTTCTACCAGGAGGGAAGAATGGTTTGTTCTTTTGTAACATGTTTATGTGAAGGCATTTATGTGTTTCCAATTATTGTGGTGAATTAAACTTGTAAAACTTCAGCCCAACCCGCCTATTTGGCGGGACAGGACGGCCCATGGACTTAAACCCGTTTTGACAAGTTTACTCGTACTCATCTGTTGAATTAGTATTTCCATCCTCTGATTACAAATTTTGGTCCTGCTGGACCTGGCCCAAGCCATGTTCGACCTAATCCAAACGTTGTACGACCTGATCCAAACGATGTTCAACCTGACCCAAACGGTTGTCGACCTGACCCAAACGGTAGTAAGCAATATACAGTTCTCATAAAATTGTGGATTCATTTTTTATTTCGTAACTAAATTAACTGGTGTTTTGGTTTATTATTTAAAATCAATTGATATCACATAAAAATCAATTCATAACTAATTTATTAAATTAAGCTAATAAAAATCGAGAGATTTGAATAGAATATACAATCAAAATCGTATCCGCATTGTTTTGTAACTAAAATTGGTTTTTTGCAGATTTGTTGCGGATTTTTATGCCTTTTTTTAACATATTTATTAAATTAAAATCAATTGATATCACATAAAAATCAGTTCATAACTGATTTATTAAATTAAATTAATAAAATCAAGAGATATGAATAGAATATACCATCAAAATCATATCCACATTTTTTGGTAACTAAAATTGGTTCCGTGTCCACATTTTTTGATAACAAAATTTGCTCCGATGTTTAATATTGAATGTCAAACNACCTAATCTTATTATTATTTTAAATAATTTTATCATTATGATATGGTGTAATTCAAAAACCACGGCATTTAAAAACAAAAGACTTTGGAAACAAATTCTGATAAATTTTCAAAATACTCAAATTTTCAAAATCCACGGCATTTTGGGATTTTTTAAGCAAAATATATAGTTTTCATAAAAATGTAGATTCTTTATTGTATTTTCTAATTAAATTTACTGGTATTTTGGTTTATTAAATTAAAATCAATTGATATCACATCAAAATTGATTCATAATTAATTTATTAAATTAAATTAATAAAATCAAGTGATTTTTATAGAATATTTCATCAAAATCATATCCACATTTTTTGGTAACTAAAATTGGTTCCGTGTCCACATTTTTTGATAACAAAATTTGCTCCGATGTTTAATATTGAATGTCAAACTTTATCCAATTGTTTAGGAAAACAAATTCAAATCAATTTAAAAAAACGTGTACAACTTTTATAAGGAAAAACCATGTTCAACTTTTTAAAATTTGAATGCACTGATTTTTTGCAGATTTTTATGCCTTTTTTTAACCATAATTTTGAAAGATTTTGGTAAGTTCAATTCTAATCTTATCAATATTTTAAACAAATATTATCATTATGACATGGTGTCATTTCAAAATCCACGGCATTCAGAAACAAAAGAACTTTTAGAAACAAATCTTGATAAATCTTCAAAATGTTCAAATTCCGGTGATGCATCAAGATGAGTTGGGGGTGGGTAGGCATACCATCTCCCTCGTTGATGCTTTCTACATGAGTTCCGGTGATAGTGAAGTTGGCGTTGGCGCCAAAGGGAGGGAAATTAGCAGCCATGAGGAATTGGATTGGGGAATGGGGAGTGATTGGATAACTAGGGCTGGGGAATGATCCAAGAGTGCGAGAGACGAGGGCTTTGGATATATATACATTTGTGATATGAAATTGTGTTTTTGGGCTGGGCCAAACAATTTTATTATTATTATTATTATTTTATTATTATTGTTATTATTTTTTTTTTTTATACGAATTGCTCATGAGCTAGGCTCCACTTGTTAAAGCTCGTGCAACTACGTTAGGCTCGTTAAGGCTTGAAAATATAAGTTCTTACGTAATTTTTTGAACTATCATCATGTACGTCTCGTTAACGAGCCAAGCTCAAGCTCGTTTATGTGCACAAGGACTTAATGAACCAAACTTGATTTGCTTGATAAGGGCTCAAGCTCAAACTCGACAAATCATTAAAGAAATAAGCCAAACAGAATCATATATAGCAACTCCCAATTACATCCAAGTAACCAAAAAAATAAAAATAAAAAAAAGAAGAAGAAGAAGAAGAAGAAGAAGAAGAAGAATACAGCAGTTGCACCCTTGTTTTTGTATGTCCTTATTTCCTTCAAACACAACACATTAATCAAAACTTCACTCTTGTTTTATTCTTCACATTTATAAACAACAAATCTCTCCAAAGAGAGTTTACAAGAGCCACAAATCATTGTTTTCTCAAAAGATGCTTGTTATTTGATAGTGGTCAATGTACTTTGATCATTGATAATATGTATTACAATCTTCACTGAAGTTAATACCAACTATGATAAGCAATCTTGATTAAGTGGTTTATTTTGATATAGAAAAAAATAATAATTCTAAGCACAAAAATAAGAATCACCGATATCTACGTTCACGGTTCAATTTGTATGTATCAAAGTTTTAATTCGTAAAATTTCAATGATTTTGAAACTTAAAAAAAGGATGTAAAAACTTGTTTCATCATGGTGAAATGCTGAAGATCGGTCTCGTTCACACATTTGAACGCCATCCTAATAATTTTAATCACGTTAACAGGGTATACAATTTAGCATGTCAGGACGTGCAACTATTAAAAGTAAGTATTTTCATTTGTATGTAAAATAATGTGCCATCTACACTAATACGCATTGCCAAATATTATAATAAGCATCAATACAAATACCATAAGATCATCTAACCATTCTTTTATGCAATTCGTACTATCCAAACCAAATAACAAGACGCCAAATCATTAATCATATTACCTTCACCAATTAACCATAAATTCATATTCACTAAAACCAAATTTCGTAAACAAAGTTTGTCCCAATCATTGAATTCTAGCAAAATATAAACATCTCAAGACAAGGATCAACTAACATCAAACTCCTTCAAGCCCCTTTACGCGACACCCGTGCAGGATAAAACCTATAAAACATGTGAAATATGCATAAATAATAGCCTCTTGTAAACATTTCTATATAAAGAAATCAAGAAACATAAATAGCGATATTTGCGTTCAGTTCAAGTGCAACTGACATAATATAAAACTCTATGTAATATAGCCCTATGAAGCACACAAAATAATCAAAACAATTCACAAAATGACGAAATATTACATAACTAAGTTAATGAGATAACAATTCAAGAATTAGAACAAGTTAACAAACTAAGATAGAAGTTACACGTGATTGCAACATGATGGAACTATTTACAACTAGCAAGCGGTGACCTCTTATACAACAAACAACTGCTCAATTGGGATCTTTAAGGCTCGAGTATTTTTTTACTAATAAATGGTGTTCAAGCTCATGATTAGTCATTTATTTGACCACAAGCTGTTTGTTATGCTCGAATTTGCTGGCCGAAAATGTTGTCGGGACAGAGTTTTCTCGTCTGGTAAAAGGCTGAGGAAGCAAATTAGTGTTAGAGAGAAGGATGGTAGAAGAAGAGAGGAAATAGTTCGTAGGGAAGAAAAGACAGAAGATTTATTGAGGGAGGGGAATGAAAAAGAGCATACGAATAGGGAAGAGAGAAAGAAAGAGAATTTGAATGTGAGGTTGAGATTGTAGGGGAGAGAAGATTTTTCGAGGAGAGATCGAGTTGCTCCTCGTATAACGACGAGTGAAAATGAAGCTGAAAGTCAAAGAAGCTGGAGGCTTCTCGAGCGTATGTTTGGTTCGGTGTTAACAAAATTCATCAGAAGGTTAGGGAAGAGGATCAAGAGGAGTGGGACTCGGTTAGAATATGGTGAGCAGGTTTTGATGAAGAAGGGCATGGGAAAGGAATTCGAGTTTGATATTAGGAAGAAATCTGACATGAAGCTTAACTTAATGATATATCAGTGGAGGAGGTGGAGTCGAGTAATAAATCATGAGTTGGATTTAACGACCGGCTAGTGAAAACAAATACAAAAAGATTTCTGGTTATATTTTATGAGTGGAAGGCAAAATCATCGAGTGAAAGCACGAAACTCAATGATGAAGAGAGAAAGCAGCGGCTTGTGCAAACAAGTGATGAAGATTTAAGGCAATCTGAGACAAAGAATGAAACATATACACTTTGTGTGAATCAAGGATACAGGTGTTGAGGATGTTACAAAGTTCTTATGGATCTCAAAAAGTACATACTGGCAAGGCAAGATGTCTGCTAAAGCCGAGAGTCAGTAAAAATCTAGCAAACATCCAGCTGCATTTGGACTTCGCACAAGAGAGGATATACAAAGCACATCATTATGGTGACTTTGTTGACGCGTTAAGGATTGAAATCTCGACTTATGAAATCCAAAGGGAAAAACAAACAAATAAGAGAAACTAAGTTTGTACACGGGGAGCATGACATAGAACACTCTAGTTAACTTCTCAAATCCAAAGGGAAAAACTCATCTGGTCGTTTAGGCATACTGAAAATCATCTCTCAAAGTTGAATATTATTCAAAAGGCACAATCAAGAAGTGTCCACAAGAAGCAAATTCAATAGAACACCCAAAATTGCAATACGCAGAAAAAAACGAGCAGACCCATTATAAAAAGTTCCATAATTGTCATTCGTTACACTGACTAAGTCCTAGCATTCTTTATGCAATATAAGATTTTTCTCAAGTATAAGACAGTCGAGAGATGGATATTACAAAGACGAACATATCCCAGCAAAGGCTCAAAAACACTGAATCAATGTACTTACAAAAATTAATGTTGCTTCAAAGCAACAACGAGACACCGAGTAAGTCGCATGGGAGTCAATGGTAAGCAGGGAATCAGATGAAACAAGATAATAAATTGAACTTAGCCTATGTACCTCTAATGCTTGAGAAAGCTCCCGTCAATCTGATTGTCTGCGAGCAGAGAGGCTCTCGACCAATGCGTCCAACTTCCGGTCAAGTCCAATTTGGGCTTCTTGAATGTTTTGTAGCGTCGCGTTAATGTTGTGAAGCGCCAGTTGAACATCGGGGTGGAGAGGCCCGGCAGCATTTGTTCTCATGCTTAAAATGCCATGATACCGAAGTTCAGATTGTGCAATATCGGCCGGTGGAATAACCGCCCGGAGGTCCTCCAATATTCTCCTTCGGTGCGCCTCGGAAGCTATATTTTGGTCAGTGGGTATATCTCCGGCATTGATGCCCTCTACAGCTATACCTTTGATAATGAAGTCTCGGTGCTGGGAGACGGAATCCCCAAGAGGAGGGAAACTGGCCATGAGGAATTGGATTGGGGAGTGATAACCTAGGGTAGGGCTAGGGCTAGTGGCGGTGGCCGGTGGGGAAAATCGATTGGAAATGAAGACTGCGAGAGACGAGAGTCGGTAAATGTAATTGTTTTGGGCTGGGCCTGGCCAAATAATTTGTGTTTTTTCTTTTTTTAGGAATTTACATCCCTTACTGTCAGTTATGATATATATTACACTAATCATCCATTATAATTTTATTTATAAAATTACAAAATAAGCCCAAAATATTTGCATTTATACCTAAGATTCTGAATGTTAATAACGGGGCAAATTAAATGCAATTGATAATTAATTGAAATCAAATATATCATTATCAAAAAGAGCGGAACAGTCTCTCTCTCTCATCGTCTCTCCAAAACCACGGCCCACCTTCACCCACTTCTCTGCAAAAAAACTCTCTTCGATTTTTCAGATCTGTTCGGAGGAGGAGGAGCCCTTCGGATCTTTCACTGGCCCGAGTCGTTGTTTGCTGCTTCTTGTCGCCGGCGGCCGGTTACCGGAACAGGCGCGACGGCGAAGGTCTGATCTGACAATCAGATCGGACAGGATTGCTACTCGCTGGACGAAGTCGAGCGGCTGAGGAGGATCAACGGAACTCGCTGCTCGCCACGGCTCCTTCTCGATAGGCGTACGACAGCAGGCGTGGGATATCCGACACAGCTTGACTTTCGGCGTGGATTGCTAGTTCGCCGAAGGAGGGTGACGTGACCTCAGGTGCGACGGCGGACGGAACCTACTACTCGCTCTACTGCTGCTATCTCGTCGATGGAGGAAGATGAGGGACGAGATTTGCTACCTGTTGAGAGGAGTTGTGCGTCAGTGGAGAAGGATGAAGACGATTGATGGCGAAGGACGAACGCGAAGAAGAAAGCTGCAAAGGAATTTTTCTCTGCTCTGCTGCTCGAGAATCTTTGGAGAAGGAAGATGAAGATTTTGCGATGAGAGGCGTGAATAAGGGTTTTATTCTGAACGATTTGGGCATATTTGGTTTATAGGGAGTATATGTTGTACATATAAGCAGTATATACTAAATATATACTAAATAAAAACTCAAAATATAATGTTCATTCAATGTTTTATTTAGTATATTTTCGGTATATGATTGATTTACATTTAGTAAAATCATGAAAAATATATACAATACATACATCTGCATTTTTTTATGGTATATTTTATGTATATATATTAAATATATACCCAACATTACGGCTTGTATTTTTAAGTATATATACTGACAAATCTCGGTAAACATATACCTTACGATGGAAAAAACATCACGTTTCTTTTTTTCTTTTCTTTTTTTTNGGATCGTTATTTGATGCTAACAGCAATCACGTTCTTTTTTCTTTTTTATTTTCTCTTTGGCGGAAATCATGGTAACAGAAAATTGATGGAGTCTACTTTTTAGGTAACTGAATTTTAGGCATATATGTAGTTAAATCTTGACAATTAGGTAGATACACAATTATTTGTTTATGAATGGTAGATTTGCAAAATTTTCAATTTCATGTAAGATAAGTAAAAATTTCCCTTTTTCTTTCGGGCGAATAAATACATAAATGCTCCCTACCAATGGACACATGTTAATATGTCCACCGCTTATGCATGCACACATGTGATGTTAATATATTAAAAAAAAATATCACCAAGGTGTGCATGCCACATAAGCATGGGCATATTAACATATGTCTACCGTGGGTAGGAAAATATTTCTACTATTGTATTAATTGACAAAAAAGATCTCACTAATCAGAGTTAGTAGGTACCAATAATTTTTAATTTCATAATTTATTAATGGCTAAAAGGAGTCTCATAATTTATTAATTGTATAAAAGAAAGTTGGATAACTCGAGATAATGCAAAATTTTCTCCATAATTATGACCTAAAATCTATATATATATATATATATTACTAGCGAAAAAAATAATATTTTTTTTCTTTGAATTTTCCCGTTTAAAGGCGTTACAAGCCAATAATATTTCCTATATACTGTGTGTGTGTGTAATTAGTTAAATAAAGTCTAGAGTTGTTATACGAAACGAGTTGCTCATGAGCTGGGCTCAACTCGTTAAAACTTGAGCAACTCAACTAGACTTGTTAAGGCTTAAAAATATAAGTTTTTGCGTAGTTTTTTGAACTTTCATCATATTACGTCTCACGAGCTAAGCTCAAACTGAAGCTCGTTTATGTGCACAATGAATTAATGAACCAAGCTTGAATTTGCTCGATAAGAGCTCGAGCTCAAACTTGGCAAATCGTTAAAGAAATAAGCAAAACAAATTAGGCCGCCAACCAAGGTTTAGGACTAATAAGCACCATCCAGAATACTTTAATCATCCTTGTGATTAGTTCCACTAACATTTGTTTTTTTTGTTGCAATACACAAAAATAGTATTT